TCTCGATTGAAGCGATCTCTTCCACAAAGGGCGTGTCGGAGTAGGAGTTGGGGTCACTTCTCCTGATGGGGGGAGCAACACTTGGGAGCCTCTCTACCATCGATTGGATAGTGTTGAATCTTTCAGAGAACATCTTCTCGAGGCACGCTACGGCTGAGTATTCCTTGTCCTCCATCTCGGAGTCACTGCTGATGGTTACCCATGTCTTCCTGGTTGTAGTTTCCTTACCCTCGGGTTCCTTATCGCCGGGAGCTGTATGCCGAGTTGCTACATCTTCATTGGTAGGAGTATCGAGGGAGGGCATGGTTCGAACTCAGGTTCGAAACCTTCGGCGGTTGTTGCTGTTTTTTCCAAGATCTTTGTTCTCCTCTTAGAGAAGATGGTTTTCGGCTTCGATTGCTCCTACCTTCTCTGCACTTCGTTGTAGCTTTTGGGTGTGCTCGTCGAGTTTAGCTTTTAAGGTTTGAACTTCTTGGAGAAGCTCTAAACTACTACCGGCTGTTTCTCGAGCCTCGCGGAGCTCAGTGACTTCTCCTCGGAGGGTGTTGAGCTGATTGAGGAGCTCGGCTTCTCTTGGTGTAGCTCCGGTTGGTTCGGTTGAGTCTTCTGGTGTCATCGTCACGTAGTTGGATAACTCCCCTCCTTCTAGCGCCAAGCTGTTATGGTATTTTTGTGTAGGGCCGTTTTAGTACTACGGAACACAAGAAGGGTTATGTGAACAGAGAGAAACCGAGAGTGTTCCTTGTCTCCGGGAGTTGGACGCCGAGTCATGCCGTCATCGTCGACAGGAGTGTCGAGGGAGGGCATGGTTTGAACTCGGTCTCGAAACCTCCGGCGCTTGTTGTTGTTCTTTCCGAGATCTTGGTTCTCCTCTTGGAGAAGATGGTTCTCGGCTTCGAGTGCTCCTACCTTCTCTGCTCTTTGTTGCAACTGTTTGGGTGTGCTCGTCGAGTTTAGCTTTTAGGGTCTGAACTTTTTCGCGAAGTTCAAAGCTATCGCCGGTTGTTTCTCGAGCCTTGCGGAGATCGGTGATTTCTCCTTGGAGGGTGTTGAGCTGGCTGAGGAGCTCGGCTTCCCTTGGAGTAGCTCCGGTTGGTTCGGTTGATCCTTGTAGCGCCAAGCTGTTATGGTATTTTTGTGTAGGGTCGTTTTAGTACTATGGAACACAAGAAAGTTTGAGTGGGAACCAAGAGAGAACAAGGAGAATTCTATGAGACAAGGAGAAACCAAGAAGAAACAAGTAGAGAAGGAGACGTTTATTAGATATTCAAAGGGGGCTACAATGTTTGGTGTATCAACCCTAATTCTAGCCTCATAGGTCTAGTCTCTCAATTCCTAAAGTGTCGATCCCTCATTGTAGGCTTTGGGTTCCTCTTATATAGGTGTAGATGTCGGCTTGCATTAGGTTAAACCCTTCCATATTGGCGAATATGGAAGAGTTCCCTTAAGTGGAGAACTTCCATTTTGTCCAAGGGCCGGATTTTAGAGCAGGGGTCGGGCCCGAGGAACCTGGATGCGGGGTCCGAGTCCTGGGTCCCTTCGGAGCAGGGGTCGAGAGGTCGGTGCCCAGCCCAGAGGCTGGAGGAATCTGGTGCCTGGATATTTTTTCCCAAGACCAGCAGATTCTGTAGTAACCATTCTTGCCCCATCACTCCCCAAGATTCCTCTAAGATCCAAAAATAACCTCCCTTTAAGATGGATTGATGCATATTCTGATGAACCAAGCCAAGAGCACCCTGTGGTCTTGGCTCTTTGAACATACATATGGGAACTCTTGGCCGAGAGAGAATATTCTTTTACATGGGGTAAACTGTTATAATTTTTAAATTAGATAATTTTAAATAATACATATTTCTTTTTTATAAATTTAAATACCATACAAGTACATTTCTGTAACAAACAAATCAGATTCCTAGAACTCATCAAATATATATGCAACAATATTGTCGACAATAAAACGTATATCTAACAACATATTTTTACGGTTCTGAAAATTTCGACAATGTATCGATAATTAGTTCATTTCTTAAATAGCCAACTATAAGATCTAAATTTGTTAGGAAATCTTTGATATAGGAATCTCTTAGCATTTTCTTTTCTAATAAATAACACCAAATTTTAATTTTTTCTGATAATAAACTAAATTATTAAATATAGAAAAAAATTAGCACAGTCGTAGGGGTAAAAGATGTAAATGTTGAAACAATAATTGGTTTTATAAGGTTTGCTAAATGCAGCTTCTACGAAAGTATAAGCATGTCAATAAACGTCGATCGTGAAAACTTATTTTCTATGAGGAAGTGTTAAATGAAATTAACTTCAATTAAAAATAGGTGATATACAAATAATAAATGCATTTGATGCTTCAGTTCTGACTCTCAACCGTATCATATAAGAAGCAAACGACAGTAAACAAAAGGATCTATTTTATATAAAATACTTTGGAGTATAACATGTTGAATGAAGTAATTATTTACAAGAAAATATATATAATACAATATTTTATAAATTCAATAGCTTCATGAATTTCCAATATGTATATTTCATCATACCAATGTTTTCGCTTAGATTTTTATTTATATAAATAATTAAGTATTCTCAAAATTGTTAATTATATATTGCTAATACTTTGTGGAATTTAATTTTACATGCTACTGTCAAATATCTTAATATAATTATGATACCAAAACAAATTTAAATATCGATTCCTACTAATATGTTTTCAAATGAATAACTGTCATAAAACAAATTTAATCAAAAGATTATAAGAAATATATGATACAAACCCCAATTTCCAACACAAAATAAAATTTTTCTTTTAATATTACACAATATGTTTTGCAAATATAATAATATACAATTATTTATAAGATGATTCATAAAAAATAAATAATGGTGATATAAAAATTTCAACATATAAAAAATAAAAACTTGCACACGAAAGGGAGTGCGGTCCATGTTTTAGTATATAATTAGAAAGAAATAAAACCATGACTGCCAGTTTGTGAGAAATAATATATTTAAAGATTTGGTAAAATTTTAAAGTTTAAGACAGATTTGGTGAAAGAACACTTCAATAGTTTTAGTGAGGGGGGGGGCTTATTGGTTGGTGTATTTTAATAGATTTTAAAATCCAAGCTAAACATTCAGCAATATATATTAAAGTCTACAAATGAATTGGAGGGAATGAGACCTCCCTAGGCATAAGTAGCTCCACCCCATGACTTGTATATAATGATGACATGTTAATAACTCAGACATTTCACATTAGCCGAGCATGCACCAGGAATGTTTTAGAAACGTCCGTATGGAGTAATGATACCATGCCCAAAGTCCCTTTCTGACCCTGCCGTCATACAAACATTTTCTCGCTGTTCCACAATGTTCCGTCTCAGAAACATTTAT